TTTCCTTTCCAATACCATCCTATCTTCTTCCTCCTACCCCCTCCCCTCCTGAATCTCATCACTTTTGTCTTCTCCGCGTTCAGCTCCAGTCCCTTATTCTCTAAATTAGTCCCTTATTTTCCAACCTTCCTAATACACTTTTCATCTCTTGTTCCTCCTCTGCTAATAACACTACATCGTCCGCATACGCCAATGTATACACTTTCCCATCTCCTAACCTCACTCCCCCCCATCCTCCTCTTGCCATCTCCTCCTCCATGTCCGCCATAAGAATATTAAACAAAATTGGACTCAATAGACATTCCTGCCTTACCCCCCTCCCCGTCCAGAATACCTCCCCCATTTTCCTTCCCACTCTCACCCTACTCTTCGTCTCACTCACCATCTCCTCCACCCTTCTCACCAATCCTTCCCTCACTCCCCTATCCCTCATCGTATCTATCAATACCCTCCTGTCCACTGAGTCAAATGCCGCTTTCAGATCTATGAATACCGCTGTCATCTTCCCTCCTTTCTTCCCTATCTGCCTGTTAATCAAATAATTCAGTGCATATACCTGATCCATCGCTCCCATTCCCTTTTTAAAACCCACCTGACTCCCCGACAAAATCCTTTTTTCCTCCAGTTCTTCCTTTAATCTTTCCGCTAATATCATCGCGTACATTTTGTATAACGACGGTATCAGCGTTACTCCTCTATAATCTTTCACCGTTTCTCCTTTATTTTTCTTTAATATCGGCACTATAATCCCCTCTTTCCACCCCTCTTTCCAGCCTTCCCCTCTCCACACCCTTCTACACACTTCCTACGCCCATTTCTCTATCTCCTCTCCTCCATATTTCCACACCTCATTCGGTATTTCATTTTTCCCCATTGCTTTTCCTTCTTTCAATTTTCTTATTATCTTTTTTACCTCCTCCCATTCTAGTTCCCTTTCCTCATCCTCCTCTCCTTCTCCTCTTTCTCTTCTTCCTCTCACTATTTTCCTCTCTACCCCCACTAACAACCCCATAAAGTATTCCTTCCATTCTTCCATCTCTATTCCTTCATTTATTCTGCCTCTTTTCCTCCTCACTTTATTTATTAATTCCCACACTTTACCCTCTGTCCTTGCTTCCTCTACTTTTCTTTCCATCCTTTCTCTTTCCTCTCTCTTTTTTCTTTCATATAGCCTTTTGTATTCATTCTTCTTCTCTCTATATTCCTCTCTTTTCCCTTCCTTTTTATTCCATTTCCTCAACTTCTTTCTCACCTTCTTCTTTTCCCAGCATTCTCTATCCCACCATCCTTTCCTTCCTCCTCCCTCTCTTCCATCTCCTTCGCTCTTTCCTAACGCTCTTTTTATCCTTTCTCCCATTTCTTCCTCCATTTCCCCATTCCTCATACCGCGCCTCTATTTCCCTCTTGAATTTCTCCCTTCCTTCCCCATCCCACCTCCCCCTGTTCATTTTCATTCTTCCTCTAACTTTCTCTCCTCTCTTCTTCGTTTCCCCCTTCAACCATACTATTATCGGGTAAT